ATGGCAGGGGTCAGAACAAGGTGGTCTTTAAGGTCCCTTCCAACCCAAACCATTCCACGATTCCCCGATTTTTCCGTGCCGTGTAACAGCCACAAATACCACTAGATGTCACAACTGCTTCACTGTTTGACTGCTCCCTCCTGAACAACTTTTGCAGGTTTAACTGAGGGGCAAAATACAAAGACAACTAAGCAAAACCAAGGTTCTGTCCTCAGGAAGTGCAGGGTGCTGTAGGATACATCTTTCTTGATAAAAATAAAAAATAAAAATAATGTTTTTCTCAAATCCTTTAGTTTGGGGCGCAAAAAGGCTCTGCAGTTTGTTCAGTAGGAAGGAAATTCATGTGCAGGACTACCCTGCCCTTTGAAACTACAGCAAAAAGCTGTGGAGAAGAAGCTGATGTGGGACACAAACAACTGTGCTAGAGGCAGGAAAGCAAAGTGACCACAGGATATTATTTTTGCCTTTATTCTGATAATTTCAGTGCTGGCAGTGACTTTCCTGCACTTTCCCTGGGTATAGCATATGGCATTTGTGTTGTCACTGTGGTTGTTGCTGTTTGATGGTCCTGGAACACACAAGCAGCCACCCACCTCCTCCTACTGAACTAGTGAAGAAATAGCAATAACATCAACTGAACTTAATTAGGCCAAACTCGAGGTGTTTTCTGTTGCAGGAGCTAATTTTAGATGCCAAACTGCCACAGAGGCTTGCTGTATCTCTGCCCTATTTTAGCAGCTCGTGGCAGAGAGGCAAATGATTGGAAGGTGAAGGAGTGAGAGCACAATTGCTTCAGCCCATGTGAAGGTCAGGGAAGAATATTCTTCCTCTGTTCCCAAGGCAATCTGATTTCTGTCTCTGCTGGTGTCATCCATAGGAACTTGTTCATCCTCAGGTCTTGGCACTGAGGTTGCCACAAAAGAAAAACACACATTTTTCGGAGGGAGGTTCAAACTAATTATCTCCCACAGGCTTTTAGAGAATTTTTCTACCTCCCCTAAACACACTATAGTCAGTGCACCAGCCTGTGCCATCATTATGTGCATGAAAATAATAGCAAAGCTAAAGATAATGAATTCTTTCATTCACTCTCTCATGACCAGTAATTGCTCCTGTGGATTCCTTTTTCACTCCAGTGACAACAATTATTGCAAACAAAACCAAAACTGAATTCCTGTGAAATTGCTGTTAAAGCATTCCCTGAAGGTGAAAAAACAAAAACCCAAAAAAAAACCCCCAAAAAACCAAAAAACACCAAACCTAAACCAAATAAAAAGTACTAAGAAAAAGAAAGCAAAAGTGATTGTCAGAACAGCAGCACCTTACAAGAAGCAGTGAACGTCTTTGTTGGGGTATTCTCCCTGTGCTGAATTGTGAAACTATTTTGTGAGGGGAAGAGGAGGGACAGACACTGATCTCTGCTCTGTGGTGACAGGGACAGGAGCCAAGGAATGGCCTGAAGCTGTGCCAGGGGAGGTTTGTGCTGGGTATCAGGAAAAGGTTCTTCCCCCAGAGGGTGGCTGGGCACTGAACAGGCTCCCCAGGGCAGTGGGCACAGCACCAGCCTGGCAGAGCTCAGGGGGTGTTTGGACAAAGCTCTCGGGCACAGGGTGACTCCTGGGGACGGTGCTGTGCAGGGCCAGCAGCTGCACTGGATGTGGGTCCCTTCCAATTCAGCTTGTTCTGTGATTCTGTGAAGAACCTGGTTTAACTCCATCCCTAAAATCAACATGAAATGGGAAAGTCCAGAAACTTCAGCTAAATTAGTTCATATCCCAACTGTCCTTCTCTAAAAGCTGAGTGCATTTAATGGGAAAACAGATTTAAAATCCCACAGAAAATAAATGGCACTTTTACCTTGAGTGAGCTTTGAATCAGACCAGCACTGGAGGTGCTCCCATCTCTCTGGGAGATGTCCCATCACAAGGCATTGGAAGCACAGGCAGGAGCCTGCTTTTCTTGAGCAAGGAGCATTTTTCAGCTCAGTGGGGTTTCTGCTTGGTTACACCTCTTCAGTGGGTGCCACAGAGGCGTGTTAGCTGCCTGCTCTCACACTCCACTCAAACACCCAGGCACATTTACCCTCAAACTGAAATATTTGCAGTGCTTAAATTCACTGGGATTATTGACAGATTTAGAGTGAAACAAGCCCAGGTCCTGTAGGAAGCCACAGTGAAGCACCACTCATCATACACACCTGTGTGTGACAAAATATGATTTTGGTTGGATTTACCTGTGCAGGACAAGAAATATTTGAAAGGTAAGGTTTTAAGTGGCTGTGCTTCCTCCACGTTGGGGTGGACTGCAGAGGAGGAGGTGATCTCAGAGCAGGGGTTTAGGACCCCCATCTCTCCACTGTAACAGGAACCCAGAGTGGCACAAAGGAGTCTGAACTGCCTCAGGCCTGGGCAAAGGGCTCCCAGCCTGCCTACATTCACCTAATTTGCATGACTTGCCCATCACAAGATTAATTATTACAGTGGCTTTAGTCAAATTCCTCTTCCTCACTGTAAAGCAATGCTTTGTCTGTCTGACTTCAGATGCAGCCTAAAACCAGCTGAGGCCAATGAGCCTGTTCAAGCTGCCAGGCTTTGCTAAATGAGCTTCTCTGCTGGACTCAGTGGTGCTTTCTTTTGAGATGACACCAAATCACAGCTCGCCCAAGCCTGATGCCAACTCCCTTTGTGACTGGAGGGAAGAGAAAACTTGGCTCACAATTTGCCTGAGAGAAAAGAGGGAACAAAAGGGAGAAGAGAAATATTTCCAACCACCCACCATCCTCAAAATTGATTTTTCTAAATCAATCTAACAAATCCTAGATGAAAACATTAATCATAGCTATAGATACAGCCCCTCCTCTGCCCCATGTCAGCCTGGGAAGCATCCTGTGAGACACAGGGAGGCTTCCTCCCTTTGGAGAACTTCCCAAGCTGTGCCAATTGGACCAGCCCACCCTCAGGGCTTGGAGCGGTATCAGAGATGCCCCAAGTGATCATCCTCAAGACACCAAAGGTTCCTTGTGTGTTTTGCTTTGACTGTTTGGACTGACCTCCCCAAGTATTGCATATTTCCAGAAAAACAGGATGGTTCCAAACCATCTGTTTATCAGCAGGGGTGACAACTACTATTGCCAGGTGAAAACTGAGAGGCTCATCTCTTTTGTCTTCTTGGAACTGTATTGAAAAACAAACAGCCCCAGAGCTGGTCAGGTTTGGTCACAGCCCAGAAATTCTCTTTAGCAACCTGGCTGCTGGCACCTGAGTGTGTTAAATCAGACCTTTGTAGGTGATGACGGCCATGACAGGGCTGATACTGGATGTAGGGGGTGACTGGCAAACAGCCCCATCCCCAGCACAGCCACTGTCACCATCCCTGTGATGATGAGATAAACAACACAAATTTGAGTGTTTTGGCTTCATCTCACTCTCCAAAAATCACCTGTCGTGTCTCTGCAGTGGCCTGGCTGGTTCCCACAAAGCATCCCCCACTCCCACACCAGTTCCATGGAATTTTTCAGCACATTAATCTCCAAATCCTCCCCCTGATCACACCTCTTCACAGAACAAGCCCTGTGAATGTGTCCCATCAGGGATCTTTCTGTGAAACACCTTGATTTTTAAAACTGCATTTCACTCAGTCTTTCAAAACATCTTTTCTCTCCATCTGTGAATCCATCTGCATCTGACAGTGATTTCTGGTTCATCAGCTCCACACTCCACTGGAGCTGTTCCTGCTCGGTGTGGAGGTGAGGAACCCTCACTGTGGGTTGTCACCCTCTGATCAGTGGAAGCCTTTTGCTAGATCACATTTTCCTAGCAAGTAAGCGACAGCTTGGGCCAACATGAGGTACTCTGTATACTTGAGTAGATCTGGAAAAAACCTCTCTGCGTCCTCCATTGAATATTCTGAATTCAGGAAAATCCTGTGTCCATCCTTTCCACTTCTACACATCCCTCCTAGAATCACATTTTCTGCTCTAAGCAATGTGACACTTTGCTGAAGTGTTATTATAGTTCTCTAGTGTTGAGAGACGTGTAGCCAGGAGGGGATGTGGGTTGTTTTTGTCTGGGGTGGGCACCCCCAGGAGGTGAGGGGCTCTGCCTAAAATAGATGGGGTGAATCCACTTTGCTCTTTTCATAAGGCTCTAGGTTTGTCCAAGCTTTTGAGTGGGAAGTTATGTGAGATAAAGCCTATTACTGATGTGGGAAAAGTAGGAATAAGTTGTTCCTGATCCTGCTCTATCCATCTGTTTGATCAGCAAAATGGGTACAGAGATGGATCAATAGACAAATAAACAAATTATAGCAGACAGTATTTGTCTGTGCTTGGCCAGCCATCTGACTAAATAGCCATATTGATCCTGTAAATAATTATATCTATGAAATACCTCACTTACTCCTCAAGCAATAAATACAGGCCTTAGGGCGTGAATTTCACCACTGAATTTTTCCTGGAGAAAACAGCCATCCACCAAAGAGTAACAGCAACATCTGGATTCTCTCTCTCACATTGGTTTTATCTTATCTGTGTCTCTTAAATTAGACTAGAAAGGCACCAGGCTTTTTTTCTCTCTCATTTACTGAATATTCCGTTTGGAACTCTGAGTATTATTTAATCAATAAAAGTTTGAGTTTTCTAAGCATTCATTGACCAAACAGAGCTTTTTTTCCCCTTTATAACCAGCATGTTCCCAAACTGAATGACTGAAATAAGCTTCAAGAGCTCACATTAGGCACTTGGTGCCTGCTTTTAGGCAGTTGGGTGGAAGAGCTGAGTTAAACCACAGAACACCTATAGAAATGATCCCCAATGTGAGCTGCCCCCAAGGCTTGGAGAGAAATAAAGGGCCAAGGCCAAGTCAGTCCTGATCCAGAGGGATCCAGGGGTGCAGAGAGAGGGTCTCTGTGGGGCTGTGTGGGAGGGGTGGGACCAGAGCGGCCAGGGGCTCAGAGGGGACAGCGGGGCTCTCCTGTGCTGGCACAGCCACCCCTGGCTGGCTCCATGGTTGCTGGGGGTGCTTTGTGACAGTGTCCTCTGTGTCCCTTTGTGGGCATGTCCCTTCGAGGCGTGTTCGGGGGCTCTTTGTGACACAGAGGCCATGCCCAGAGGCCACTGTGACCTCTGGGGGGTTTTGGGGCACAGAGGGCCAGGGTGCCACTGCCCCGAGCGCCTTTCTCAGGAGGCAGCAGCAGCCTGAGAACCTCTGCAGGAAAGTATGACAGAGACACCCAACAGGGAGAAGGTGAATCCCAAATCCTTGCCCACCCAAGGGCTGCTGGGCTGAAGAGGCAAAGGATGGGCAGTGGGGCAGGACAGAGAGGCTGGTGATGGCACAAGGCTGGGCTGGGGCTGTGCTAAGTCAGCCCCCTCCACCCCATACCTCTGTCCCACAGGTGGAGCACAGGCAGCCACAGCAGGAGAGCTGCTGCCCAAATGCTCCTCCTGAGGCACAAGAAGCAGCACCGGCAGCAGCCCTGGGCGAGGAGGCATCCTCAGCAGGGACACAGAGCCATGTCCCATCCCTGCAGAGCTCCTGCTCTCCCCCAGGCCCCTCATCTGCCCAGGGGGCAGCCCAGACCCTCAGCGGGCATGGGTCAGTGCTGGAAGCACCAGAGCCCGGGGAGGGGGCCTGGGCCAGCGAGGAGGAAAAGGGAGATGTCTGCCATCCCCTTGAGCCGTGCCGAGGGGAAAGCCACATGGAACGAGAGCTTTCCCAAGGGGAAACCAACAGAATCCCAGAGCCATCCCACGGGGAAAACAGCGGGGACAAAACACCGCCGCGTGAAAACTTGCGACGCATCATAATCCGCACGGTCTGGATCAACCCCAGCTACCCGGAGCTCTTGCAGGAACCCCTCCAGGAGGAGGCAAAGGCAGCAGCTCCTTCTGCCTCAGCAGGGACACAGAGCCCTGCCCTGGGCAGCCCCCGCTGCTCCCCTTGCTCCTCACGGACCCTCGGTGACCTGCAGCGTGCCCACCGGCGGCCCTCCAGCTCCAGGCGGGCTCTGCAGGCACTGTGCACCCTGCTCTGGTGCTCCTGATGGAGCTGAGCTGGGTGATTAGTGCATGCTGCCAGACCAATTCAAATCCGTTCACTTGGAGTAGTTCAGTTGTCAAGAATTGTTTTTATATTTGCAAATCGTCATTGTCCCTCGTTACTGCACAGAGACTCAAAGCAACAAACACCTTTCCTGCAGGAGGACACGCCAATAAAAGATGCTGATTTGCCAGCAGTGCTCAGTGAGCCACCTCGGGACCCAGGTGGGTTCCAGCAGCACCAGAGATTTGAAAATCAGTGTTTTCATGGTCATTGTGGCCAAGACACCAAGCACCACCTCACCCACAAGAGCCTCTCTGGGAACAAGTAGCAAATCACAGAGGGCACCTTTCCATAAGGCTCCAGGTTTGTCCAAGCTCATGTAGCTTTTGAGTGGGAAGTTATGTGAGATAAAGCCTATTACTGATGTGGCAAAACTAGGAATACGTTGCTCCTGGTTCTGCTCTCCACATTAGCTCCCCGAGATTCTCTGCCAAAAAGTTGTCAGCCACATGTCTTGGGAATCTCCTGGACTTGTCTTTTCCCAGTTAACATCTGGCCAGTGGAATCACCTCACAAGTACAAGGGTGGTTGGGTTGGCAGTGTCCTGAGAGTCCTTAAAGAATAATTCCAATATGCCATGTCCTGGCTGGAACAATAATGAACAATATCCTCTGACTGGTATCCAGAATTCTGGGCACTTGAAGTGAAGAAATGTCACTTTGAGATAAAGGAGCTTGGATTAAATATTCTCTGCTGACCTGGCATATGGGAGATGTAATCAACTTTACTTTTAGTTTACTGTCTCTAGAACATCCATGATTTTTAAGGCTCAGATATTACATTTGCTCCAGAGAAAAAAAATCCCAGCTAAATAACCAGATGGGTTTTCCTCTTCACAACTCGACACAGGCCAAACTCAGCTTTAGAGATGGAACATGGAACTGTGCCTGCCTGGGAACTTAAAGACATGTCCATCTGATTTTCAGAAAACAAAATCCTACCTTTTTTATCCTTTATTTATGGCCCAAAACTGATCTAGTTGAATAACAAAAAAGGCAAGAAATTTCCCAGACAGGATGGTTTAAATGATACTGAACCTCTGAGTAATGTTTTGATGTGATTGTGACTGTCACATGTAGCAAAACCTCCAGCTGTACAATCCAATGAGCAGAGATTTTTCTAATGATTCTACAGCTGAGGATGTTCAACCTGCTAAAAGTTTTTTGTTGACTTGCTTTAAAAGTGATAAAAAGCTCTTGGCCAGCCTTGCTGGTGCTGAGGCAGCGGTGTTGGTGAGGCAGAGCATCCCAGGAACTGGAAATGAAGCCCATTGGGCATTTGTGGGCATCAGAGAGATGAATTACAGCAAAACAACTCCTTGAGCAGCTTCCAAGGATCACACGAGGGAGCAACAGTGGCCTTGGGCTGCTGAGGAGCCTCTGGAAAGAGGCTGGAAAAGGCTGTTGGTAGCCAGGGCTATCACAGCAGGAAATCCACAGGAAAAACACAGAGCCTGAGCAGAAAAACTCAGTGCAGCCCCCAAAGCCCCAGCCAGGGCCAGCACGTGCTGCTTGAGCTCTCAAATAGGGATGAAAGAAGCATTTCATAAATTATAAACCACAGCCCACAGCTGACCTGCAGAGAAACCTGCAAGTAACCTGTCCAAAAAGCGGTGGCCTGTGGCAAAGAGGCTGAGCTCGCCCAAGGTGCTCATATGCAGAGGATCATACCCTGAAAACCCTCTCAGCAGAACGTGTGATTATCTGCTTGCTCTTCAATTAGACAAGATTTTGGTACATTACTTACGAGCTGTTGGATTTGAGTCTTCACTGATCCGGTCCAACCCTCACTAAGTTACATACAAAAGTAAAGGAAAGAATTATTATCTCTTCAAAAAGAAATACTCATTTAAGGGTTAAAGGAAGGCAGGAGTGTCTTTTTTTTCCCTGCAATAAATTAAGACAGTAAGAAAAGCATCCCAGTGTACCATCTAGATTTACAGTGGGGTTTTTCAATTTCATTTATCATTGCCAAATACATTACACTGGGATTAAACTGTACAGGTTATTAAATACTGATTACAAGAAGACAGCGTGCTGTGGCAGGCAAGTTACTGAAGCAACTTCCAAGTTACTGAAATTAAGGTTTTGAAAATGTTTTATGGGAATTAATGTTTAATTAAAGATTTTGATCTATAAGGCATTCAAATAATAGCTTCAGTAGGAGATTACACAAACCTGTGAGACATTTTTAAGTAGAAAGGATACTTGATGTAGTGTTTTCTTTAATTAATCCTGCACTGGAAGACCATCACAAGGGAATTTAGAGTTTGGTGCACAATAAAAGAGATCATTCCAGTTATCAGGCACTTCAGCTTCTGTGGGAAATTTTTTTGCATGATCCAATTCATGTGCATGTATTTTTTTACATGAGATGAACTTTGAATTGAGTGTGATTAAGAATATTTCTAACTCTACATCCCCAAGGGAACTTGGATATTAATGTGTTGGGAGGTTTACAGATCTGAGGTATTTGGCTCAATAGTCACTTTTTTTCTTCTGTTGAATTTCCTCTTCCTGTTACTGACTTCCAGAAACAACATAAATCATCAAAAGCATTTTGCATTCCACCATGATTGATGGTTTTATCTTTCATTCAGATATTCTTGTACAAAGTCTTCTGTTTCCACTAAAAAAAATAGTTCATGTAATTTCCTGTAGTCAAACCCAGTGACTGATCCTTTTCTGTTTTGCTCACTACATTTAAATGTTGATGGTTTGCATGACTTTTGCACGGCTAGAAATGTCATTAAGAGGTGTTTGTGTTGGTAGGTGTAAAAATACAAACAGAAAAGTCTCATACTCTGAAAAAAAATTCCTGGTCCCAGCTACCAAGGTTATGGAGCTACAGGGATGATAAAAATCATAAAAATCCCGTGAAAGTTACTGGAAGGGGAAGTGATTAAACTTCACAAATTTTCAGTACAAAAACCCAGCAGTTTTAGGTCTTTAAGTTCATCTTTAATCTGAAATGTATCACCTTTCTGCTGATGTACTGAGTGAAATAAAGCTGCAAAGACATTTTTGAGGATTCAAAAGGCTTGATAAGTTGGAAAAATCACTTTGAAAATGAGGACATCTTTCCTTTTCCTCGTCCTTTCCTGGTCCAGCTGGACCACACACAGTGTCATTACACCAATTTTTGTTAAATCCACACAGTTAAAAAATGAACCTGGCTTTATGTTTGAAAGATGTTAATACATACTACAGCTTACTGATATTCCTCACAGCTAATTTTTATCACTGGTTATGCTGTGCTGATTTCCTCCTCATCACTTTAGCTGTAATTGTTTGGTTTAATACCCAGCGCACACACCCTCTATGCTGCCTGCTTAATTATTTTCACTTCTTTTTATGTCACATTTCTCAGATCAGTAATTATGTCAGATCATAAACCCCATCCTACACTGACCATAATAACTTGACAAATAGTAATACTTTCTATATAACATGGAATAAGGTGAGTTGGTTTAACAAAACACATAATTTCTTTCTAGTTAATTTAATTAATTTATCTTAATTATTTAACCTATTAAGCACAGGTTAATTAAATTGGATCTGATGCACTCTCTTACTATATTTATTATAGATGCTCTTTTTTTTTTTTTTTTCTTGAATGGAACTAGTGTTTCATTACCTCTGTTGCTCATTAATTTTAGTGCTGCTGTTGCTCTTTCTTGAAACATTTGTTTCCTCCAGGGCCAAGTTAATCCATAATTCAGAGCTGATGGTAAATCTCCGTGCATTACCACTATGCACAACCCAAAAGGGGAATGGGGAGCAGGGGCTGGATCACATCAGCCAACAGAACCCACTGCAGGAATGCACCCTAAATAGCCACCACCAGCCTGCCTTGGGTGTAAAAGGACACCTTCTTCCACCTGCTTTTGATAGCAATTTTCTTCCCAATGCCATCTTCTAAAAATACATCCCTGCTTTTCTTCCCAGCGTGCCAGGGAGAAGGGTGGGAGAGAAGTGGCAGCCCATTTCTAAAGGCTTCTGAAGGCTTTTTTGAAAAGCACCTTGAAAAACCAAAGCCCAAAGCAAATGCCACAGGGAAACCAGCCAAGGTGGTAAAATCAAATTCAACAAACTCGGGTTCAGGAGCTCTCAGGAGAAGCTGCACTGCTTCTACCCAAGGAAGTGACAGAGAGCTGCAGTGCCTGCCCTCAGCTGGAGATCCACCACAGCATGCTCATCTATGAACTGTTACCTCCCCAAAAACATAGGTAATAATGCTGATGGCCTGGAAAAGCAAGGACAAGGGACTAGAAATACTTCTGCTGCCTGCACACTTCACTTTGTTCTAACAGGCTTGTGGCAAGGCAGCTGAGCATCAGTGTAAGTGGGCTGTGACAGGGCAGAGCAGGGCACAAAGCCACCCCAGGAGGGGATGGACTCCCTGCACCACACCTGAATGTGCTGGTAGATGAAGATGAGGGTGGTCATGACAGAGGAGGGAGCCTGGCAGCCTGCAAGGGAAAGGACATGACCATTCCCAAGAGCCCTTTAAGTCAAACCCCATCTACCAACTCCAAATGTCAGCTGGGGGAGCTTGCACAAGGATTCAGACACTAAATTTTCTCCGGGGGTTTTAATGCCACACAGACATTTTAATTCCAGCTGTGTGGTACAGTGCATACTGTGCCCATAACCCACAGCCCAAGACCCACTCAAAGTCCCACCCCAGCAGGGAAATCTGCTGCAAAAGCCCCCTTGGGATCTACCCCAGCACCCAGAGCAACTCAAGAATCAGACCTGCCCATCTTCAGGCTGTGGAGCCCCTGCTAAGCACAAAGCTGAATGAGATCACAGCTGGTCCAGGGCCAGAAAATAATGGTGCAGTAATGGGTTTATTGGCTTTTGGAGCAGGAGCTGTTTGATTTCAGGCAGAGGAGAGTCAACAGCAGCATTCACTCCTGCTAATCTCATTTCCAGCAGCACAGAGTGAGAAGGCACTTGGGCTCAAAGCTGTGCTCGATTGCTCTCTGTTTATCCAGGATTATATTAGGAGCCCAAGAGCATCTGGAAGCAGCCCCCAGCCAGAGCTCGGGCTTTGCAAATGGCTTCAGCAGCACCTGGCTTGTGGGAAAAGAAATCCCAGTGTTTCCAGCAAGCTGCTGGCAGTTTGCTCAGTACAAGAGGTGGATTTAGATGCACAGGTTTTAGATGTGAAAACTGTA